AGAAGAATTATAATATATAAACATACGTGACCTAAAAAAGGGAATGCGACATAACAAGTATGGGGGCTAAGATTCGTGACTTCAATTTTTCTTTTTATAGAGGAGATACGAGCATCCTAAGGCTAAGAAGTCATACTCGTCTATTTCCCGATATTTGAAGGGTGCTCTCTAACCTAATCAATCAAATGCACTAACCTATTTCTAATTTTTCTAAATAGAATGCAAGTCTAAATGTCATGTTTCATACATAGGGATAAGGGATATACATATAGAGGAAATATCATGCAAAATGGTAAAGATCCTAAAAGTAGAAAATATGTATGAAATATAGTGATTGTCACACAAGCATGTGATTCTAATGTGTGGACGGACTAAAGAGTCTAGCATTGGACTAACCCATTTTTACAAGTCTTCACTAGCGTTGGGCTAGTGAGAAATCGGGAGAATGGCCATAACTAGTGTTGGACTAGTATGGTGACGTCATGCATTTATTATAAACTAAATAAATCATATAAAGTATAATTAAATCAAGTAAACACATAATGCACACAGAGCACATAACACATAAGCACAATTTCTAGATGTAAAACCCTAATGAAAGCGAGTAAACACATAAACACACAAGCATGCAAGCATCCAAGCAAATAAATGCAAATAAGAGCCTAACTATTACATTCGGGACCTTAACTACAATCTAGGGGGGTTCTAAAAATTATATATCTAACTATTACATTCATCTAACTAAATACATTTTTAGCAAAAATCAAACCTATCTATTACATAAACTAACTAAATACATGTCTTGAGCACCTATCTATTACAACTTGGCATTTTAATGCCTCTCAAATAATCATCAAAATTAAATAAAACAAATGAAACTTAAAATGAATAAGAATGACTAATTAAAGAAAAAGGCACTTGAAACATGCAATTACACATAAAACACATTGGAGCACATAAAAGTATTTAAAATAATAAAAGAGGTTACCTCCCCTGAAGTTACGATTAAATGGGGTGAAATTTGCCCTACTTATGCGCCAAAATGAACAAAATGATCAAGGCATCAATTTAATTATAAAGAAATGGAAATAATCATGCAATCTACACCATTAAAGCACTTAATGAAGTATAATTAACAATTAAATAAGAAAAGTAACTTGTATTTAAGAAATCAAATTAAGAAAGTTTAGGGTTAATATGTAATTATTACAAAATTTAAGGGTCACAATTTAAATAAAATATAAAGTTTAGAGACGCAAATTACAATTAAATTAGGGACCTAATTGAAAGTACAGGAACTAATCTGCAAATTATGCATCAAATTTCTAAGAGGCCAAAACCAATGGGCCATTTTTAGTTCTTCTTTGGGCCAAGGCCATTTTGACCCAACAAAAACCCAAGTGAAAAGAGACGGGCTAGGCCATCATTTTTATCAAATAGACCCAACTAAAAATGAGTGGGCTTTCACCTCCAACCCAAGCCAAAATTCATTCAAAAAGATCAAAACCCATTGCCTAAGCCCAAACGAAATAAACCTTACAAAACCCAACAAAAAATTAAATCAACTAAAAATTATTAAACCCTAATTATATCTTAAAATTTGAAAAAAAGTTGCTCAAGGGACACATTTAAACATGAAAAAGATGATTAAAACCAAATAGGGGGAAAAATTGATTCAATTACAGAAGTTTTTGGGCCATCATAAAATTACCTGAAAGTTGGGGGACCAAAACGTAAGTTTTTTATAATTTTCTCATGCAAGTTTCGAAGAAGAGCTTCTGCAACTTTCTGAAGCTTCGAAACTTCAGCAACCTCATGCGGCAATCTTTAACAGCAATCTCAAACAAGAATCCAACCTCAAGTTCTCATTAAATCCCATAAGCTTATCATCAAGATACCATATTGAGCATACAAAAGAAAGGAAAATCTAGAATGGGGGGAAAAGCTTGCAAATTCCAGGTTCATTCATGAAAACTTTCCACAAGTTTCTGGGTTCATTATCAACTAAAAGCAACGTGGGATGATTCCTACACACAAAGTCTCATGACCCACAACAATACGAGATCCAAAGGCAATGGTATGGGGTGAAGATATGAACTGACAACTTGCGCGTAGATGGAAAAGCCACAGAAGAAAAAGACAAAAACCAAGAAATCTAAATGCAGCAACACAATTTTTACATGCTTGATGTCAATCCAAAGAAATGTAAACGAGAAAAGATGGGAAAGAGTTACCTTTGATGCTTTAACGCCAAACAAAACGTGGGAACATGCAAGATTTACACTCTCAGAGGTCGAAAGTTTGTCTCTTCGAATTCGGTTGCTGGAGTTTCAAGAGTTGACGGGGTCGTCATTTTGAGCTTCGATTTGAGGATGTTGCTGAGGTTTTCTTCGAAAACTTTCAACATAAATCTTCCTCCTTGATCACCGTAGATTCTCCAGAAACTGATATTTTCTCCAGAGAGGCTTTATAGAGATCGAATGATGGCCCTAAATCCTCCTCAACCGTCAACCCTGGCTCCAGTTTTTTGTAAAAATTTCTGCCCTTCTTTTTTCTTCCTCCCTTTCTTCGTTTTCTCTCCTTTTTCCTCTTCTTTTTCTTTCTTTCCCCAGCTGCCACCCTCGTCTCTCATGTTGTCCTCTCTTCAAGGTTGCGTTTCTCAGCCTTTTATAGTTACAAAAAATCCCTCCAACCCTAGCATGTAAGGTGCAGATTTGCTGCATTTTTTCTTGATAATTTTTGAGCCTTTAGATAGCTTTTGATCTGGATTTTCTTGGTGTTTAGATTAAAGCCAGGTGGATTGGTACTGGAGTGATCCAATGGAGCGAAAAAACGATAAAAAGGAATGGAAAAAGGCCAAGAAATGCTGCTGCAATTTCTGGTACCAATGGCCTCGTTCATGGCTTCTGGTATGAAGCCATGAACAGCGCGCATGCTTCGCACGCGCTCGTGGCCCTTCCACTTTTTTATTTTATTTTATTTTTATTTATGAAAAGCTGATTTTCATTTCTTCTTCTTTTCTCTTTTTTTTTTACTTTTCTTATCTCTTTTTTCGATTTTCTAAAAATGATTTTACTCAAGAAAAGAGAAATGAAAAAATAAATTAAATAAAATAAAATTTAACTAAAAATGAATAAATAAAATGGTAAATTTTAGTGTCTACAATCACTAATTTCTTTACCAAAGGTTTTCATTTCATTTATAATTGTGGTGATTTTGTGTAGTAATTTTGAATATTTTCATCATCACTCATGTTCAAATTTTCAAGATCTCTTCTAAGAGTTTGAAGAGTAACATTCTTTACCTTAAGATTCCCTCGAAACTCCTTTTGTAGAATCTCCCATGCTTCCTTGGCATGAACAGCTCCCATAATTTTTGAAAAAAACATATCTGGACTTATACCTTACCGGATGTGTGAAAGAGCCTTTGCATCCTTCTTCATATGCTCTTTAAGTGCCTTTAATTCTTGATTGGTGAGACCTTCTTCACTATTCTCTATAGCCATTCTCTACATATTCGCATAAATCTTGGGATCTGAAAATTGTTCTCATTTTCACGAACCAATGATTATAGTGCCCACCAAAAAATATGGGAATTGGAAGACTATCACTAGTATGATTAGCCATCTTGTATAGTTGAAAATTTCTCAAATTTTTCTGGTTTTAGGGTATGAACTATGGCTGTGAAACCTTAGCTCTGATACCAATTTATTGGATATTAAGCCAAGAATTGACAATATTTGGAGACAAGGGTAGCTTCAATTGTTTTTTTTCTTTTATGTCTTTCACTCTCTTGTATTGGTTTGAAGCTTACAAGGTCTATTTATAGTTGTAAATGATCATTCTAGATACATAGGGAAGAGTTCCAGCCACACTTACCAACAACCTTCTTAATTTCCAACCTTCTAAATACATAGAGAACATTTAAATTAGGGATAATATCAGAAACCTCCCCTGAGGTTTCTTCAAATATCACTTAGCTTCCCTCACATTTTAGAAATCTCTCTTACCACCCCTCAAGTGATAATGGGTCAGCAGTCAACAAGAAATCTAATCAATTGCCAATAATACCCTTTGCTCTGCTGTTAACTTATTCAGCTGATAAAATGCAAAAAATGTCTGAGAGAGCAAGCATGGAACTGTATAAAGCCCGGGAAAGCTTTGCCGCCTAGAAGCATGGGTTCCGTACGAGTTGCATGGCGCCATTTTGCTGTGATAAGACGTCTAATTGCCCAGGAAATGAAGAGGAATGAAATACTACTTATAACTGTGATTGTTATTTGATAGTATCTTTCTGGAAATCTCTCGCTGGATATTGCAAAGGAGGAGAAATATTGCAAAGTATTGAATTGCATGCATTCGGTTGGAGTGAAAGTGATTTTGTCAAAACTGAGATGCACAACAGGTAAAAGTCTTCCATTGCTAGTTGATATGATCAACATGTAGAAGGAGAACTTGTCGAGTGTCATGAAGTGTTCTGAGTTTAACATTGCCGAAATGATCTCTGTTTTGTTGTGTTTTTCTGTTTTGTTGGACTTGCTGTGGCTGAGTTCCATTGGTAGTTGATATGATGAACATGTAATAGGAGAAAATGCAGGTGTCATGAACTCTTGGTCATGATTTGCCTATAATGTCTCTATTTTCCTTGTGTTTTTGTGGTTTATTGGACTTGATGACCAAGTTTAACATCCAACCAGAGTGAATGCAACAGGGGACCTTATATTAAGTATTGCACATAATGGATGCTGTAAAGAATGTCTGATTTGATGAACTATGCTTGACCTTTATTTTATTGGTTCAAAAAGTTGATGAATATTGAGTTGAAGCTAAGCTGTAATACATAACAACAGCTTAGCTTTGTAGCTTAACTTTGTAGCTTAGCTTTGCAACTTGAGTTTGACTTTGATTAAGAATGCGTGTGTTATACTATGTCCCTTGTGAGAATATGTGAAATTAAAGCTACTGATTCAAACTTTTCTTGCAAACACACTGATATGTAGGATGGGAAGAATTATTGCACATGATATTCTAGTCCATTACATGGGAAACACTGTCAGAATTCCTAATGTTGATCCAAAGAACTACCAATATATTGACCTTCTTGGTGATGTTACTGATAAGGCAATGAATGATTTGCCTGGAAATTTGAACATGCTTGTGCATATGAAATGTGCGATTCCTAGGACAACAAGCTTTATGGACATCAGTAGTGACAAATCAGTCCTTGATATGTTCAAACTTCATGAAAATGATCTTGTTATAAACCTGTACTTGCTGCACCTGGATATTATTCCTACTACAGAGGAGAATATGGTAGAGGACAGGAATAACCAACTTATTGTGGCACAGAAAGACATAGGAATTGAAAATGCTCCTATTCCTGTAGTTGACAGTGAGGGTGATGATGAGATTTATGCTTCTAGTTCTGATGACTCTTGGAAGGATGACATAGATAGTGATTTGGAAGATGTCATAGCTGAAGATAGGGCCTTAATTTCTAGTAGTGATAAGGACGAAAATGACTTGTCTGATTATGAGGAGATTGAGGATGCACAAGTTGTGCCTGATTCAACATCTGACCAAGAGACTGATCCTATGAGAGCAATTATGCAGTCAAAAATGTGGACTTACAATCCAAGAGAGGACATTGAGTTTGAAAGGGATGCTATTTACCAATGTGGATGCATTTAGAGCAGTATTGAAGGACTATGCTATTCAGAAAGGATTTCCATTGGTGAGGTTGAAAAATGAAAAAAATAGGTGCACTGCCAAATGTGGTGCTGAGGGGTGTAACTGGAGGATTCATGCATCCCCAGTTGGTGATACGACCACATTCATGGTTAAGACATATACACCTGAGCATACGTGTGTCATGAATAGGAAAAATTCAGAAGCTATATCAGATTGGATTGCAAAGAAGTTAATTTCTGTTATGAGAGATCACCCGGAATTGACAAGCAAGGGAGTAAAGGCTGAAATGCAGAAGCATGGAGTCTTGCCAAGTAGAATGCAAATTTACAGGGCAAAAAAAAAAGCCTTAGAACAGATAGAAGGATCACACAGTGAGGCCTATGGAAAATTACCAAAATATGCTGAACTGTTGAGGATGCACAACCCAGGAAGCATCATGAAAATTCACTATGATAGGCCAAACGTTCTAGTAGAGCCTAAATTTCTGAGATTGTTTATCTCTTTCAAGGCACAAAGAGATGGTTTCCTGGCAGGTTGCAGGCCATTTATTGGCTTTGATGGCTGCCATTTGAAAGGTGCATTTGGGGGCATTCTGTTGACTGCAGTTGCTCTTGATGGGAACAATAGTTTGTTTCCATTAGCTTTTGCTGTGGTAGAGTATGAAAACAAGGAAGCCTGGAGTTGGTTTTTTTACTATTTCCAGGAATTCTTTGGACCATTTCCAGCCAATATTCCACTCACCTTCATGAGTGATAGACAGAAGGTATGTTTCTTCATTTCTGTGATTAAGCATGTTTCAGATTTCCTCCATGACTATTATATTGGCTGAATCAAGTGCCTGAAGGAAAGAGCTACTGAAACTTCGTATAGGGACTGATGACCTTGTACTTATATTTTATAGGGACTCAACCTTGCTTATGAGGAACAAGTGCCTGAAGCTGCTGCACGATATTGCTGTTGGCACATCTACTGCAACTTCAAAGTCAAATTTCCAGGATTGTTGCTGAGGAGATATTTTTGGCAAGCAGCTAAAAGTTATGATTTGATAGGACACAATGAGGCTATGGAAAGAATAAAAAATATTAATATAGATGCTTGGAGATACTTAGCAAACATTCCTAAGTGTAATTGGGCAAGGCATGCATTTTCTGTTGAAATTAAGTGTGATCATGTCACCAATAATTTCATAGAATCTTTTAATGCATGGGTTGGAGAATTGAGAGGAAAGAATATACTTGCTCTGGCTGAAGGACTGAGGCAAAAATTCATGAAAAAACTGCATAAGAGGTATCAAAAAGGCTGCACATGGACATCTAGTGTTACTCCACATGTGATTGGCAAGCTGAAGGATATTGCAGCTGAATCAAGAAGGTGTTCACTGATAATGGCAAGTGACAACACATTTGAAGTAGCAGACATAAGTCCTATATAGTCAAGTTGACTGACAGGACATGTGAATGCGGGGCTTTCCAGTTGACAGGCATTCCTTGTAAGCATGCTGCACTAGGAGCTTTATAGAAGGGAGAACTGGAAAGCTACTGTGATGCAGCCTTTTCCATTGATCAATACTTGAAAACGTATGCATTCATGATCAATCCAATTCCACATATGAATAGGTGGCCTCCAATGGAAGATGTGACACCAGTAGTAGTTTTGCCACCACCACTTAGAAGAAGAGCTGGTAGACCAAGAAGAAATAGGAGAAGAGCAGCTGATGAAGGAGCTCCTGCACCTCAACACAAGAGATCAATCAGTTTCAGGTGCTCAAAGTGTGGCAGATTTGGACATAATAGGAGAACTTGTCAAGGAGCTCCTGTTGCGAAAAAGAGGGAGCAGTACTTCTACAAATCAGGCAGCAAGTCGAAGAGGAAAACCAGGAAGAGGCATTGCTAATACTGGATTAGCAGGATCTGTTCTATGGGTAATTGAAGCAATGTCAAATTATAGTATCTGATTGTGTATTAATTCTGTTCAAATGAGCTTAGCTTTGTGATCTGATTTGTCAGGAACATGCACAAGGAAATGTCCAGTCATTGTATCAAGTCAAGGCAGTAATGGAAGCACTCAAAATCGTGTTGCTGGAGCTCATGTTCAACTTAATCATTCTGCCTGCACTAGTACTAATACCAGAAAGGTATAGTTAATCATTCTGCCTGCTAACTATTCTAACTGTCGACCAGCCATTAGTTTAATAAGATTTGTTGCATGGCTTCAGAGAGGAGGGCTAAATGCAGGAACTGAGAGGACTACTGTTGCTAACAACAATAAGAGAGCCAGACCTTCCATTGCTGTTGGCTCAAACAAACTCCAGCAGTCACTGCATCTTCAATATCCACTTCTGCTGGTATGGGATCTCACATTGACAATAGCAGCACCAGTATGAGGTTCTAGTTAGTGCTAGTATTATGAGTTTTGCTTTGGGAAGCTAATCTGGTACATTTGTATACGTAGCAATCCTCATCATCTAGAATGATGTTCTTAGATGATGTTGCAAATGAGATTCTTGTTGATTGCTACATATTTTTGTTTAGTTGTATATGTAACGTATGCCAAGTGGTTAATTGCATTCCCAGTCCTAGTGATGATGTTTTGGTACTTATGTTTGGGAATTGCAATTTACTCTTGCTAAGTATGCTCTGCTGCTTCCCAGTCCCATGCTCTTGCAAAGATGTCATGCTGTGTTTTTTCGTTTAACTTTATGACTCTGATTCCTTAGGATTATGTGTGAAACTAGTACTGTTGTTTTCCAATGAACTTAGTTGGGGAGTATTGTTGTACCTAAGGAACTACACCTGATAGCTTAATGCATTTTCTGTCTAGCTTAACTTTGGTATAACACTGATAGGCAACAAATATGGGGGCATACGTATGAAGTAAAACATTCCTTCAACTCTTTTTCACATAGCTTAACACCATGTCCAAGTTACACATGCCTTCTGGTTCTTTCATGCATGACCAGTAAGGGCCAAACAGCTTGGAACACATCTACTATTACTGGAACAAGAAACTGTGATTGCTTTAACAATTTGAATGAAAAGATAAATTGCTAAGAGTACAAGATTGATGATGAACAAGAAAGTGATGCATGCATTCTGTTGAGGCACAAAGTTACATTCCTGATTTGTTTTCCTCAATGGAAGCACTGCAGAATCAGCACCATTTCTTGTACGCTGCACTTCTTCACCTTCATTTCTTTGCCTCTGCAACTCTTCACCTTCATTTCCTTCATACCACTGGAAGTAGTTGCACTTTGAACAACTAAAATATAGCTTATCCGGATTTCTTTCACTCTCTGAGATTCGTAATGTAGCCTTCCGGTTGCATTTGCAATACCGGTTCTTCATGCTTAGTGATGAAGGTGAATTGTAAGACTGACCTTGGAAGGATGAACTAGCCATTTCTTTGCTTGCTTTCCTCTTTAAGTTTTACAGCTACTTCATGTGGTTCCGTCACCTTTTAATACCACTGGAAGCAAAGTCAAATTAGCCGTTGCATGTCCAACGGCATGCAACAGTGCTCATACCAGAAAATTTATCTCCAATTCACATTCCACCTACTGCAACTTTCTTAATCACAGGATTCAGTCAAACTAAGGGTATGAAGGGAATTAAAATACTCTCCCTCCTCCAAAACTAATATTCTAATGTTACTTTAGACACCAGGGCTGACATTGTTAAGAAAATGTCAATTCAAAGGGTGGTAAGATAGATTTCTAAAATGTGAGGGGAGCTAAGTGATATTTGAAGAAACCTCAGGGGAGGTTTCTGATATTATCCCTTTAAATTATCTAGAGAGCATTCCAACATTCTAGATACACAGAGAACATTCCAACTATCTCATTTACTAAGTAATTAATCAAGCTAATTCATTTAACACATTATTCAACGCACATGATCAAAACATTTTATCAGCCACCTCGGAACTAAAGAAGGATTCACAATTTTGGGCACTAATATTTGTGGCTCTTGGAGTGGTATCATTACTAGCATATCCCGTAAGGACATACTTTTTTGGAGTGGCTGGGGTAAATGGATCAGACTGATTAGATTGATGTGCTTCCGAAAGGTGGTTCATATGGAGGTTGGTTGATTTGATGAGTCTGAGAAGTCAAGTGGAGCTACTGGTGCAAAGCTCTCTGCTGATGCGGCTACTTTGCCTGCATTAGTTGGAGATGCACTTGTACTTATGGTTCGAAGACTCGGCTGAGTCGTCATCGTCTCGATCCTCGTCAATACAATACCGTGACAAAACAATACCGAGATACTCAACTCGCCGAGACGTCACCGTGAAAGGTTAAAACGGTCGAGTCACATCGAATCATTTCGAGTCATCCCGTGTCAACTCAAACTTTTATTTTTTTACTAATTTTTTAATTATTTTTGTTTATCATATTTTTTACAATTTTTAGAATATTAAATATTTAAAAAATTCGCGTCTCGCCTAGACCGCGATCGATATGCCGAACCAATGTAGAACGGTCCAGGCCGCAACCGCAACCGCAACCGCGACCGCGACTTTGAACCATGCTTGTACTGCTCGTTCAATCCACTTCAGCAGCAGTTGCAGGTTTGATTATTGCTTTTCGTGCAAGTTGGCAACTGGCACTTATTATTCTTGCTATGATGATACCACTGATAGGATTGAATGGATATATACAAACCAAGTTCATGAAAGGGTTTAGTGCAGATGCAAAGGTTAGTGTTTTGAAAACGATACTATTAGTTGATATCTGCTTGATATAGAGGAATTCAATGAATTATCCTTCCAAAAAATAACCTTAAACTTGTTTTCCCAAAAAAAAAAAAAAAATTCTGGTAAGCATTGGAAAATCACTCAATTATGTGAACTTTAAAATTTTTGCAGATTATGTAAGAGGAAGCAAGTCAAGTTGCTAGTGATGCAGTTAGGAGTACAAGAACAGTTGCTTCATTTCGTGCTGAAGAGAAGGTGACAGATATATATGAGAAGAAGTGTGAAGGCCGGATGAGGGTAGGAATTAGGCAAGGGTTGGTTAGCGGAATTGGTTTGGGTTCATCATTAGCATTATTCTTTTGTGTTTAATGCCACTGGTTTTTACGTTGAAGCCCATCTCGTAAAGGATGGCAAAATGACATTCTCCGAGTAAGTACAGAAAACACGTCCTCGTAGGAAAAATTCAGCAAGTAATCCTAAGGAAATGTTTTGTTTGATATTGATTTATGGGCCTCAGAAACTATTATTTATCTTGCAGGTTTTCTTTGCTCTGATATTGGCAGCCACTATAGCAGTTAATCTAATTCAATTCCAACAGATTCAAGCAAAGCCAAGGGTGCTGCGGCTTCAATATTTGCCATACTAGACAGGATATCGAAAATGGATGCAAATGATGAGTCTGGCATGACCTTAGAGAGTGTGAAGGGAGAAATTGAGTTACGGCATGTAAGCTTCAAGTATCCAAGGAGGCCAAATGTGCATATATTCCAAGACCTCTCCTTATGGATTCAGGGTGGCAAGGTAAAACTGGATAACCTACCTATAGTTATCAAAACAAAGTTATTCGCCGGTGATTCTTCTTCTTCTTCTTTCTCATATGGTTTAAAATACTGAAATGAGAGCCCCATCATCCTTTTGGAGCAATGGTTCTGAAACAATACATTTAGTTACAAACCCCAAAACCCAAATTACAGATTTTTATCAAGATTCCAATTCCTCTAAATCCTTGCCATGATTATGACAGAAAACAAGAACCCCACTTCAGTACCACTCTAAAAGAAGTAGGACTGACCTCCTATTATCAAGTTCTATCTTCAAAATAGAACCAAGGTAGAGATACGGTCATGCTGAACAAGTTTCAGTCCAAAAAACAGAGACAAGAGGACCTATAACAATTAACTACCAAACTTGTATATTCAGATGATTGCAACCATACCAAAATACATATATACCAAACCACTCGGGTTGGTCCAATGGTCAGGGAGGTCTCTTAGAATTCTCCCTGCTACACCAATTTATTTGTGAACAATTAGAACTGTCCAAAAATGAAATCACTAAGAATCCTATCATTATTTTTATCAGAACGAAGAAACCAAGCACACGCCAATCCTTTACTATTTTTATCCTTTTTCTTTCTTTTTTTTTTTATGTTGGTGAATTTGATTTTCTTTTTCATGGACGTGCCCTTTCCTTTATAACAAATTAAATTGGATTGGGCTTAGGAACAAAAATAGAAAAATAGAAAAAAAAGGCCAAACTCTTCTTTCCTTGTTCTTTGTTTTTTAGATGACCAAAATTTTAATTTGCCTAAAACGAAAAGGCCCACATTAAATTAAAAGGAAAACCTTCAAAATTTTAGAAATTGCAGACTATATATATATATATATATATATATATATATATATATATATATATACTCCCTCCGTCCCATAAAATTTGTCACTTTTGACACAATGCAAT